GAAAAAAAAAAAAAAAAAAAAAAAAAAAAAAAAAAAAAAAAGAAACTGGATAATCACACAGAGTTGGCCTAAAATTATCCAGGACCTCTTCCCAACCTGCGACTCCACAGTCAGTTAACAGGATGCCTGGGGCAGAGACCAGTTTGGAACTGATGATAGTGGGGATCATAGCTGTTCATACTCCCTTAATGGATGAGTAGAGGTGTGTGCCTCTGTATTCCAAAGCCAAACATGTATGTTTCTGCTCATCCCTTTTTATTTTTCATGAGTAGAAAAGGAGGGATGAAAGCAAAGTTAGCAAGCATATTATGATGCAGATAACCCAGTGCAGATGCTTGATAACTTAGATGTGAACAATTAGCCTGCTCTGTAGCCTGGGGTGGGCCTCCCCTGTTCTGTTCTCACTGATGCCTAGGTGCCAGTGGGACTGTCCTTGTTTGGGGGTAAAAGGAGATACCAGGTCATTTCCCTCTTGCTGGGGCTAGGGATCCTAAAAGATGAACTACCTATCACATATGCTACCTAAACTCCTTTAACAATCAAGTTTCTATGAGCAGTGTGTGTGTCTAGTTTTAACCCATAAATTTACCACTTGCACCTGTATTTATTTATACCCACATTTCCCCAAATATACTGTAGAATCTTATTTTGCACCAAGCTTTCTGTGTCTGACTGGTATCACAAGTCTATGTTTTCTGTGGAAGGTGTTGGAGTTCACCTTATTCTAGACTGCATAGGTGGATCCTACTGGGAGAAGAATGTCAAGTGTCTGGCTTTTGATGGTCGCTGGGTTCTCTATGGTCTGATGGGAGGAGCTGACATCAGTGGGCCTCTGTTTTCAAAGCTACTTTTTAAACGAGGAAGTCTTATTACCAGCCTGCTGAGATCTAGAGACAAAAAGGTGAGTGATGAATGAAAAGAAAACATGATTTAACTATTACCCAGAAATGTGTGGTTCATTTACATTGCCCCAGAAAGGAAGCTCTGTCACATCTTAGGTTAGGGAGACTATGAAGATATCTGTCCCCCTGTGGATAAATAGGTAACCTGATTTCAGAGAACTAATTCAGATTTGTCGATAGAAGTTTCAGCATCTTGGAAAGAGTGTAGCTAATACTTCATATATTATCTCAACTTTCTAACAGAAAGAACAAAGCATTGGCCACATTAGGAAGTCTAACAGTTCCAAGACTTTGTTTTCAAAGGTGGAACTCTTTTCAGTGTGCTAAAAAAGCCTCTTAGGTTAGTAAGTACTGTAAGCCTCTACCTTCAACAGATCACACGTTCCTGGAATCTTCTCTGTGGCATTCTAACAGGCATCAGCTTTGGGAATGTTTCCTACTGTAGGGTTTCACACCTACTGGGAGATAGCAGAGCTTAAGCTTCCTTTTGCACTGAGCCTGTGTGTAAGTCTGTGGCTGCCTTCTGCATGACATTTTTATTTAAAAACAGTCCTTAAGCTGTCAGTGACAATAATATTTTACTCCAGGCTTCAGTCTTTACCTGGTACAGAACAGAGGTTACACATTTGAGGACATGCACTTTCATGCTGGGAAGTGAAGGGGTAGGGGGCCCTGCGTGCTTTTTCAGATGTGTACAGTTTCAAAGAGAACTGAAATGCTAAGCAGGAGGGGGAAGTGGCGAGGTAGGCCTCTCTCCAGGCTGATGGTCTCTTTTTTTCCTTATCTTAGTACAAGCAAATGCTGGTGAAGGCTTTCACGGAGCAAATTCTGCCCCACTTCTCCACGGAGGGCCCCCAACGTCTACTGCCAGTGCTGGACAGAGTCTACCCAGTAACTAGAATCCAAGAGGCCCATGAGTACATGGAGTCAAACAAGAACGTGGGCAAAATCATCCTGGAGCTGTCCCAGTGAAGGAGGAGGGGGCAGTACAGGACACAGCCGCCTCAGGCCTTCTCAGAGCAAACTTGGAGAAAACTCCCAATACTCAGGCAAGAGACCAGTGCTACTCCCAGGTCTGCCTTGTCATTTGATCCGTGTAAATCTGGTCTAAGGAAATAAAGAATGGACTTGAAGAACAACACGCTAATTGTGGGCGGCCCTAGTGCGGCTGGGGCCGCCGGGGCAGGGGTGAGGTGGAATTCGGTTCGGGCGTCGCCACGGAGATGACAGGAGAGGCCCAATCTGCCGATGCTCAGCCTAAGCAGGGCCGAGGGTTCGCGGTAGTTAACAGTCGGCCACGACGCACGCCGCCAGAACGCTGCAGACTCCCAGGCTCACCCTCGCGTCCCCAACACCTGACTGCGCGTCCCGCTTACTCCCGCCGCTCACCTGGGCCCTGCCCCACCTTGTCCCGCCCATCTCAGGCCCCGCCCCCACACTCAGGGCCGCCCCGACCGGAACACCTCCCCTTTGGGGGCCCACGCCCCGCCCCCTCTTCACAGAACCCGGAAGCGCGTTGCCTGTTGGGATTTCCGGCCTCACGAGTATCGTCGGCTCGTTGGGCACTGGGAGTCTTTCTGAGAGAGGATTACGTCAGCACGTCTCGGCGTGAGACGACGGTGTTCCGGCGGTGCTGAGACAGCTTCCGGTGGAGCCTGGGTGTTGATGTCCTGGATCTGACGCGGTGTTTCTCGAAGACGAGCCAACTCCGGAGGTGTCCGGAGCAATTCCAGCACTTGCAGCGGTAACCTCATCAGCCCGCCAAGATGGCGATGCAAGCGGCCAAGAGGGCGAACGTGAGTATCGCGGCCGTCTGCGGAGGAGGGGGCGGCCTTCGCTGCTTGACTTGGCGGTGTGGATCAGAGCATTCTTGCCCCTCTGCCGTCCCCGGGGCGGGGAAGCCCAGAATTTCTTATTCCATCAGTGGGTACTCTGTCTCGGCCCCATCCTCGGGTATGCGCCTTGAGCCACGTTTCCGCCCCCACCGCTCTTGAGAGCTCGTTCAGTCTCCACCGGAGTCGGTGATGGTGTCAGTAGTAACGTTAGCCCTGCAGCCTCTGTTGCTTGACCTGCGCCTGGGACAGGGCATTAAAATCTTCTCGGCCTAAAAGTTAATAGTACAGACGAATCCTCAATAAATAATAGTTCACCCACCATTAGAACCTGGAATTCTCAGATCAGGGAGCTTTTTTAGATCTTTCATTAATGTATTAACAGTGTTTTTCGAGCACCTGGCTTGCGAAATGGGAAAAAATGCATCACTTATATTTACTGAACACGTACTGTGTGCCAGACACTAGTCTTAGGTATTGAGATACAGCAGTGAGTGAAACAAGTTCTTCTGCTTATAGTGTTAGAGAGTGGGGTATTGTGGAAACCTAGAAAAAAAGAGAGTAGTCAACTGTAAGGTGCTTAGAGGTATAAGATAAAGACAGATAATTGACCATTGGATATGTTGAGATGGAGACTTTTGGTGACCTTGATGATAGGAATAATTTCAGTGGATGAAAACTTGGTTGCAGTGGGATGCAAAGATAGTGGAAGTTGAGAAAATGGAGACGGCAAGTACAGCCCTTTCCACGAGCTTTCATGTGAATAGGGAGTAGAGAGATTGGGAGATGTGACTATTTTTTTTAAAGATGACCGGTAAGGGGATCTTAACCCTTGACTCGGTGTTGTCAGCACCACACTCTCCCAGGTGAGCCAGCCGGCCATCCCTATATGGGATCTGAACCCTTGGCCTTGGTGTTATCAGCACCACACTCTCCCAAGTGAGCCACGGGCCGGCCCTCGGAGATGTGACTTTTTAAAGATGTGTGATATAAGGTGTATTTTTATGCCAGTGAGAACGATCCAGGAGAGTGGGAGAAACAGGACATGGGGAAAAAATGGGTTAAGTTCAGGAGTGAAGGTTTTGAGTAGATGAAGGGCTGGCATAGTCATAAAGGGAAAGTGGGTAGATATAGATGAATTTACTTTGGTAGGTTTAGTGGTGGGAATATACTTACCATTTAGTCATATCTATTTTCTCCAAGAAGCAAGAGCAGGGTCATCTCCTGGTATGGGCAGGGAAGAGGGTACACCCAACCCAGATGTTAGAGGGAGTGGTGGTGGTAAGGTTTGAGGAGAGAAGAGAAAGTGTGATACAGTGTTTTGTGGAGTGAGAAAGCAAATTTACTAGAGAATTTAATAGTATTATGATCATCTGGCAGTGTTGATCATCTGTTTGAACTTAACCTTGAATCTTGAAATCTAAAACTTTATTGTAAGTATTTGTTTACCACTTATTGCTACTACTAGTTTGAGGGCAGGGAATAAGTATCTTACTATTCTATTTATATAATACTCAGCCTAAAAGAGTTTTCAATGTAATAAATAGTTATTAAGCAAGTTTATGTTTAGTATGTAACAATATGTTAATAAGCATAGGAGTGAGATCTGGGTGAGAGATACATGTTTGAAGAGTCATCAGTTTACTGAGGAAACCATGAGGTTGGCTTAGAGACCAGAGAGTGTGTAGAGTCAAGAAGAGTGTACAGTGGGTCAAGAAAAGAAGTCTAAAGATAAAGCCCTGTGGAAGAACTTTTTTTTTTTCCTTTTTGTCTTTTTTCATGTCCGGCAACGGATCGCAACCCTCAGTGTCGCGCCCGTACCGTACCGGACCGGACCGGCAACGGGATCGCAACCCTCAGTGTTGCACCCACACCTCGCTCAGCCAGTGAGCGGGAACCGGTCTGTATGTGGGATCCGAACCCTCGGCGGGAGTGCCACCGCGCTCCCAAGCGGCGCACTGTAGCAGTGTGCCACCGGGCCGGCCCTGGAAGAACATATTTTAAGGTCATAGAAGACTAAGAAAGAACCAGAGAGTTAGGAGATAAGAGTGTCAGGAGGGACTAGTCAACTGAAGCCTCAGGGAAGTTGAGTACGATGAGAATCAAGCATTGCAATTAAAAGGTCTTAGTGAGTGAGTAAAAGCACTTTAGCAGACTGCTGGAATGGAAGCCAGATTGTGTTAAGTTTGAATGTCAGTGAAGTAAAGAATATGAGGCAGTGAGCATAGACTTCCTTTTTCAGGTGCTTGACTGAAAAAAAAACAAAATAGGATAGTAAGTAGAGCAAGCTGTTAAGTTCAGCGAAGGCACCTTGTCTTTTTTCCTTTACTGTGTATTATTATTATTACCTACCCTGGTGTATACATAAATAATGCACTTAGATGCTGAATGAGTGAAGAGGGACCAACATAAGTATTTTGTTTTGTGTAAGGATTGGCAGGATGTGAGCAACTGCTCACATGAGGAATAGAAGTAGCCAGTGGTGAGGGGAAGACTGTGAATTTAAGAGAGATCATTGATATAACAAGTCCCTGAGAAGACCAGAGAAGGGTAATCAGTGGAATTTTATTGTTGAGAAAACAGGAAGAGTTTCCTCGTTTTTTTCCTAAATATGTCTGAGGCATTTAGGACTTATAAATGAGACTGGAAATCCTTGTTTAATTGTAATGATCAGAAGCCTGGGTTTTGTAGTAGCCCCTTATTAGTTCCTACTAATAATGTTCCCTAGAACCAGTGCTCCGTTGCTTTTCCGAAGATCATGCCATTTTCAGTAACATCAGATTTACCTGTTGTTTTTGGTTTTCTATTATTATGTACCTTTGAGAATTTTTTTTAAATGGTAGTATTCCTGCCCCTGATTATGACAATGTGTATTTTCTTATTTTAGATTCGACTTCCACCAGAAGTAAATCGAATTTTGTATATAAGAAATTTGCCATACAAAATCACAGCTGAAGAAATGTATGATATATTTGGGAAGTATGGACCTATTCGTCAAATCAGAGTGTGAGTCTTACACTTTTGAAATGTGATTTAAAGAAAATGATTGCATAACCTATAATCTCAGAATTATAGCTGACAGTGAGATCACTCTGTGTGATATGCAGTGCAGCATCCCTAACCAGAGCCTAGACACTAACAGACTGATATCAGAGAGGTGAGATTTGTAGGGCAAAGAAACCTACTGACACCCTAATGATCCAGCTCATGTCAGCCAAGAATAGGATTCGAGAAATGACAGAGAGCATGAAGTAGTAATGAATGCTTTGAGGAGAATGGATGGGAAGGGAAGGAACTTTTACTGCATACCTACTATTTGCAAAGCCAGGTGTTAGATATTTTTTATTTGCACTGAGTCTAATTTGTTCAACCGTCTCCTCTATTCACTCCAGAATTTCTGAATAAATTTAATAGAAGGGTATTAAAATAACATAGGAAAATGATATTTTCAGCTATAGCTTTTTGTATTGAAGATTTAAAAGTATAGTGGAAAACATCTAATTACAAGAATTCATGTTTTAATTTGATATAAAGATTGGGGTTGGGGCCGGCCCGGTGGGTGCGCTGCTTGGGAAGTGCGGCAGCGCTCCCGCTGAGGGTTCGGATCCCACATACAGACCGGTTCCCACTCACTGGCTGAGCGAGGTGTGGGGGCAACACCGAGGGTTGCGATCCCGTGGCCGGTCCCAGTCCGGGCGTGACACTGAGGGTTGCGATCCATTGCCGGTCACGAAAAAAGACAAAAAAAAAAAAAATTGGGGTTCATACTTTAAAATGATATTTATTGGACATTACTGGCCAGCCGCCAAAAAAATCAACATTTGATAGTTATTGGACCTTTACTAAATACCATTTAGCATAGCAGGTGCTTTTATTTGCATCAGCAAAACTATAGCCGTGCGTGAAAGTGATATGGTATCTGTTTTACAAGTCAAATTGCCAAGGCCCAGAGAGTAAAGGTACCTCTCTAGTCTCATACAATGTTTAGTGATAAAATCTTCTGACTCTAAATTGAACCTCTGCACTACACAGTGCCATGGCCTCTGCCATCCTAACTAGTATGAAAGGACTTGTTACTTTAGAATCTATCTGAAAGGATTTCTGAAGTTTTTATTTTCAGGAGGAATAGTTCTTTCTTTTTTCTTTTTTCTTTTTAAAATTTTTTTTAAAAAGATGACCGGTAAAGGGATCTTAACCCTTGACTTGGTGTTGTCAGCACCACGCTCACCCAGTGAGCTAACCGGCCATCCCTATGTGGGATTCGAACCCGGGGCCTTGGTGTTATCAGCACTGCACTCTCCCGAGTGAGCCACGGGCCAGCCCAGGAATAGTTCTTTCTTAATTCTCTTTTATGACCTGAGAGCTCCTTCCTGGCTTTTTGACTATGAGATCTTGAGGATTCTCATTTCGAATCATCACTGTGCCTATAGAGAGTAAACAAAGAGCTTGAGATATATCATCATTGGTACTCAGATGCGGGAGAAAACCAAAGTGGTATAGACCAGCTGTCCTTTTTTAGGTGATCTCAGTCCTTTGAACATTTGATAAAAGCTTCGAACTCTCTCCACAGAAGAACACACACACCGTTTTGCATATATTACTTGGGCCCTAGATTAAGAAACCCTGTTCTAGATATACAAAGAATGCTATACAGAAAATTCTAGACTTGGGGATCAGGTGACAAGGTTCTGTTTCTGGCCCTGTTACTAGCCATGTGACAGGTTGCTCAGAGTTTTGTTTTTTTTCTCTCTTCATGTGTCAGATAATCTGTATGGTGCCCTTTCAGCTTTTAACATGGAGGCAGCAAGATAAATTTACTAGATTGGTTGTTAGACCTGGTTTCATGTATTAACTGGGCATTTGCTTGTCATGTGAAACTGGGCAAAATATTTAACCTATCTGAGCTTCAGTTATCTATGAAATACAGTCTTCCTAACCTGTCTTAAAGAATTATAGTTGGGGGCCGGCCCGGTGGCGCACTTGGTGGAGTGTGGTGCTTGGGAGTGTGCCGGTGCTCCCGCCGAGGGTTCGGATCCCATATAGAGACCGGTCTGCTCACTGGTTGAGCGCGGTGCGGGCGCGACACCGAGGGTTGCGATCCCGTTGCCGGTCGCGGTACGGGCGCGACACCGAGGGTTGCGATCCCGTTGCCGGTCGCGGTACGGGCGCGACACCGAGGGTTGCGATCCCGTTGCCGGTCGCGGTACGGGCGCGACACCGAGGGTTGCGATCCCGTTGCCGGTCGCGGTACGGGCGCGACACCGAGGGTTGCGATCCCGTTGCCGGTCGCGGTACGGGCGCGACACCGAGGGTTGCGATCCCGTTGCCGGTCGCGGTACGGGCGCGACACCGAGGGTTGCGATCCCGTTGCCGGTCGCGGTACGGGCGCGACACCGAGGGTTGCGATCCCGTTGCCGGTCGCGGTACGGGCGCGACACCGAGGGTTGCGATCCCGTTACTGGTCATGAAAAAAGACAAAAAGAAAAAAAAAAAAAAAAAAAAAAAAGAATTTTAGTTGGAGGTCCGGCCCATGGCTCACTTGGGAGAGTGTGGTACTGATAACACCAAAGCCATGGTTTCGGATCCCTGTATAGGGATGGCCAGTTGGCTCACTTTGGAGAGTGTGGTGCTGACAACACCAAGTCAAGGGTTAGGATCCCCTTACCGGTCATTTAAAAAAAAAAAAATTTTAGTTGGGATCAAATTAGATAGTGTTTGTGAAAGTACTTTCTTGTTATTTCCTTCCCAGTGTGCGTTAGCCACCCCTTCTCTGTGCTCCCATAACACCTTCTGTTTATATCTTATTAGTTAACATGTGATTTTGCTGTCTGTGTACTCACCTGTCTTCCTGGCAGCCTATGAGCTCCTCCAGGGCTGGTACCATATATTCTTTTCACTGTGTTGACAGCACTTCTTGTGCCTAATACCTGGTTAGCACCCAATGTATATAAATAAATGAATGATACAGAAAATGATTGTGTGGTTGTGATTAATTTATGAAGACATTATAAAATTTGTTGATAGTACTCAATTAAGAGATGTTTAAATCAGTGAAGGTAGAGAATGTTTTGGAAAAACAAAACAAGAGGACAAGTTATAAAGGAAAGACATCTTCAGAGGAGTACAGAGTAGCTCAGGGCCGTTGTGCTCCTGGTCCCTCTATCTGAGCATTTGATAAAAGACAGTGGTTTTCACTAGCTCCTCATTCTTCAGGTCTCAGCTTCAGTGTCACCTTTTCATAGAGCTTTTCATTGACCACCCTAGCTAAAGTAGCTCTCTTTCTTCCCATTAGTCTGTGTCACAGTTCTCTATTTTCTTTATTATATTTCTTATGGTCTATAATTATTTTGTATTTATTTATTTTCTTTCACCTGCTTGAATAAAAGCTCCTTGAAGGGATGGTGCTTGTCATTTCCACTATTGTATCTCTAGTGCCTGTCACATAGAAAGAATGTAATATATGTTTGTTCAATAAATTCATAAAGGTTTGGGGTGCAGGAACTTGGGTCTAAATTATAGATTGAGAAACAGCTGTTTTTCTGTTCCTGTTCCTGTTCCATAGTTGTTATTATGCTTTATTGCATACTTGGCACCTAGCACTAGGGTAAGTAACCTTCCTAGTTTGCCCAGTACCACCAGGTTTTCTGGGACATGGGACTTTTCAGTGCTAAAACCTGGACAGTCCTAGGCAAATCGTAATGATTGGTCACCTTACCTGGCATATAGCACACTTGGTACTTTGTACTTTTTAAAGCTTTTTCATACTTGTTACCTCTTTTGATTATTAAAACCACATGTAAGATAGGGCAGATGATATAGCCTGATGTCACTGTGTGACACATGAAGAAACTGAAGCCCAAGAGGCAAGTTACATGATTAGGTTTTCTTATTCCTACTCTAAATTTTTACTACCAATTAAGAAAATAATGTTGGCTCAGTGTCTAACACACAGTAGGTACCAAATACATGCTTTTAAAAATTCAGAATATAATGTGGGTTCTTAAAGTATGAAGTTAATAATTAGGGCCAGGGCACTTGAGATGGAGAGTCTTTATTTATTTATTTTTACTTTTTTATTTTATTTTAACTTCTCAATATACATTGTAGTCGATTTTCATGACCCTTTACCCATTCCTCTTCCCCCCTCCCTCTCTCCCGGAGAGTCTTTAAAATGGGGTTAGTGCCTGTCTCTATTCCAGTTCCTAAGAAGATGTAAAAGGAAGAAAGAGTTTTTATTTTGAGCTTCCTGGAGAAAGTATGTGGCAGAGAACTGATAGGAGAAAGTAGATCTCTACCTTTCAAATGCATATTAGTACTTGCTATATGCATGACACCGTGGGACTAAAGTATAAGATCACCTTTTAATGTTTTTATTCCAGAGGAAAAACTAGGTGGAATTTTTGGGAAAATGGGGCAAAGTTTTTTCCTTTTGGCAGTCCGCAACTTTCATACCTAATACATTCTTGAAAATGATGAAAAGTCCAAACAGTAAAGACTATTCACAGAGAGTAAAGAATATTACAAAATCCCTCATCGGGCCCACACAACCTGACAGTGTGAGTGCATTCATTTATGCTGGCACTCTCTAATCACCTGCAGCACCCTATACCTATTCTGTCACCTTTGATAGGAAGCACAAGCCCTGAGCAGAGCTCAGACAGTAATCTTTTCCTACATCAAGTCTGGGCAAGTGTCTCCCCTTCCCGTGAATTTGCTGCCTTTCCTAGAGCCTATGCATTGACTATGGCAGATGGAAAGTCAGCCCACAGTCTTAAACATACCACAGTTGCACTGTGTGGCTAGAACACAGATGGAGGCAAGGGGTCCATCTTTATCACACCATAGCAGGAACTAAGTGGGACCTCTGCCCACTGTCCCCACTAACAAGCATATGGCCATCTGCTGCTTGCAGTTTAGTGCTCCCACTGCTCTGCACACTTCCCTACATCTCCCAGAGGAAGATGATGAAGTGAAGAGAGGAAGTGTCAAGAGCACCTACACTAGAA